GTGTGTTTCATATTTTAGAAGCTTGTTTGAGTTCGATGTCTGTATCATATTGCAAAGTGATTATTTATTCTTTTGGATGTCTGTCCCTATAAACTTCAGAATCTATTTTTCAGTCTTCTTGATCTTCTTTCCCTATTTATACTCCATCCCTAAACCCTTTGTTCATTAGGACAGATCTATGTTATAGACTTATAGTTCATAATAAATTTCTGATTTGTCCTTAAAATTGCATCGTAAGTAATAGTTACAAGTTACAACTCCCTGATTGACTTTCATATGAACAAAGTCACGACGAGTTAACAATTTTTTATATTCTGTAATACTTCATGTGGTTGTATTAGTATGCTGTCATGCTTTGGTATCATCTCTAGTGTCATATTCTAATATAAAGTAAATGATGCGGCCAAGCTGCCAAGTACAAACTGAACTGCTGGAAGGTCCTCCTTACAGGCTTACAGCTTAAAGGGGATGTTAGATATGTTGTTACTTGTTAGTGATATGCATGCAGACTTTATCCAGACCAGATATGATTACTTAACCTCGGTTGCTTCCACAATTCCCTTACACTTTAGTCAATGTGATTTCTCCTACCTACCATCGAATTGAAATGTTAAAGTACTATGCATGGATACTAGACAAGGGCATAAACCATAGCACTGATGTATATGCTATGCTCTTCACTTGATATTAGTGTGAGTGATCCTAGTAATAACTTATTAGCAATTGGTATTTATGATTAATGTTTGGATTGCAGATGCTGGTCATTTACTGTGGCCCTGGTATCGTGAAGGTTAATGTGATTCGTGGGCTACATTCTCAGATTGCTAATAAGGACACTTTAACGGGGCTCATATTAATTACCCAAAACCAAGTAACAAACCAAGCTCTAAAAACTCTGGAGCTTTATCCGTTCAAAACTGAAATATTCCAGGTTTGTTTCCGAATGTCAATTATGTTTTGCATTTCATTCTTTACATAACAAGTCCTGCAAGGTGATTACATTTGACTTCGTTTCTGATTCTCTGGATTAGCTTTATGGATGGCTTATGACTGGAGAGACGTTATAAGCATTCTCTTAGAAGATACAATTGATGAACTAAGTGCTGTTTAAGCCTTTAAGGATCAAAATGCAGCGATAAAGTTGGCTTCTTTATATCTAGGCATAAAGAATAATGGGGAAGGTGATTTAGGGTGGTCAACTGCTGTTAATTGTGTTGACGTGGCATGGACAATTTAGTCTTTTCAACTACATTGGTTATGTGGCATGTGACGTGGCATGTTAGTGGAACCCATGGGTAATGGGAGGTGGGTTAAACTCACATGAGGGTTTGATTTCTCCAGGCTAAGAGAAAAAATATAAAATGAGAGGGTTGAATTTCAAGATTCGCAAATCAATTTCAATGTTTTCGGATCCTTTTGCAAAGATTCTTAAGGAGACTCTCTACCTCATTGCTTTCCTCTTCTTTATTTTCCTTAATATGAAGAAATCAAACCCTGGTTTTAGTTTAGCCCACATCCTTGCATTCACGGGTCTTACTAACATAGTTGAAAAGACTAAATTGCCCATGCCACACTAGCACAATCAATGGCTCCTTTTAACTTATTTGATGAAATAGGGTAAAGTGGGACATTGAGGAAGAGTGCAGGTGTTTAAGTGAGCCAATATAGAGTGTAGGGACTATTGAGATTTGGTGAAGAGTACAAGTGTCATAGCTAAAAATAAGCCCTTTTTTGGTATCCGAAAATTCCTCAATTATTTGCTTGGTTAATTTTTTTACCAAGGTACGTACATACGGTTGTGTTTTTGTTATATCTTTAGGTTTTCACGGAAAGCATTTCACAATATGATTTTTAACAGTTTCTTTAGCCTTTTGTTTTTCCCTTGACATTTGTTCTCACTTTCTCATAGCATATTAAATTATTATTGTTTCCTTGTTAACCCACCTTAGTTGGTTGTTTAATTGCATTTTTACAGCATTTATACTAAAACACTTACTGATAACTGTAAAAGTGTTTCTGCCTTTTACTTTTAATGGTTCGTTCACTTAGAAGTTCTCATTCTCACTCCTGTCATAATATATTTTTTTTGTTTGGCAGATTACCGACTTGCTTGTTAATATCACGAAGCATGTCTTGAAGCCAAAGCATAGGGTGCTGACGGACAAAGAGAAACAAAAACTCCTAAAGAAGTACAACATAGAAGAAAAGCAGGTTATTTTATTAACTCAAGTAGAGAAAAACCAGACTCTGATTTTCTTTCTCTGGAGATCCTTCATATCGTTCTTAATTTCTGAATAATCTTGAATAGATTTGAATTGCTTATCTGACCTTCGCTGTGGTTGCCCGCTGTTGTTTGAATATGTTGTTGGAAAAGAGTGTTACGACTTTATGTGTGAGTGGTTGGTAGGGATGGTTTGGTGAGTGAATTGGGTTGGACCCATTTATATGTTATGTCATTCGTATTAACTCCATATTTAGATAAAGGAAATACAAATGGCGACAATGATCGAATCACCACATAAATTTGTTTAACATCTTTGATGTATCCACGATACTATGATAGGGGGAACACTTGATTAAAACAATTGAAATTGCATTGACTAAATTGAAACTTTAATATAAGTACAGACCAAAACTTGATACATAAAGGTTCAAGTGCGCATATTTTAAGTGGCCACATATTGAAGGAATTCTCTAATGTTATTGTTGATCAATATGTGATTATCTCATTATATTGCTCTATTGGGAACTTCAGCTGAGATTGCATATCGAAATGGCAACTGATGCATATCGAAATGGCAACTGATACTACTTTGTGCCTATAGACGTATATTATGCAGAGCAAACTATGGTGAACTGGTTTCCTTGACCCCAATTTGAGGAAACTCCGACTGTCCCTACCTCACGATTCATGGATCTCCCTTCTTTTGGTCCTACGAGCTTTGGAGGCTTTCTTATCTTTGGTTAACTTATGGTAGTCATCTAGCAGTCTTGTTTCTCTCTCTTTCCACCCACCGTGATTCCTTGAAATGGTCAATTTTACTATTGGACCGTCCCAGTAATAAGAATCACCTACATTTGTATTGGAAGTGCTTTGGTATAATCGTACATCAAATGTTGCATTCTAGTTTAAAAAAACTGTACGTTACTATTACATTTCACGTAGATGGTTGGTTGGCCTCTGACTGGTAGCTAAACTGTAATGTTTGCGCTGTTTTAATTTCATCAACTGTTCTCCTGCAGCTTCCCCGACTGTCACGAAAAGACGCAATTTCAAGGTACTACGGACTTGAGAAGGGGCAGGTAGTGAAAGTTACTTACAGTGGTGATATTACCGAGTCTCATGTTACATACCGTTGCATCTGGTGATGCCTTCTTCTGGGTGCACTTTTGTATCATATCCTTTTGAGGAATGTGGCCTTTCTAGTTTCTACTTTCTAGTGTCTAGTTTATGTGATGTCATGTATTTTCAACCTTGACGATTAGAAACCTTTTCATTTCGTATCATGCCTGTCATATGGATAAAGAATTTAATTTCTCGCTCCGGCCGTAGCTAATGAATGGTTGATTCCTGGTTCTGGTAAGCTTTTAGCCTTTCACTGGTCATATTCTCCTTTCTCTGGAGAGTGTTGTTCAGTGACGGCTTGTTCGAGCGTTACACGCTCAAACATCGGTCACTGAACTAAGCGATTTATGAATTGCTCCAAAGTTGGGACTTATCATGATCAACAGGATGTTATATGGTTTACAAATTTATTGTCTGTCGGATAGCTTTAGTTTAACATTTTGGCTATGTTCTTGGAATTCCATTTTATTCTCGCTTTGCCTTCTATATCTTGAAAGTCATCACTTTACTTCGAGAAACTCAAAATTCGTTACACTTTGACTTGTGTATTCTCTCTTATTCTTGAAATTTATAAGCCGTCTCCTAAGCATATATGTGACTCACGACCCAATACGATTATGCCATATATGCAATAAATTTGATTGTAAATCTTGCTTATGCTTCAGCATTTAACAATCAGAAAATATTAGGTTTAAAAGAAATTAAAGAGATTAAAAAAAATAAAAAAGAAATTGATTAGCCAGTCTCATCCGAATTAAATCTACACTAGAAACTAGCAGACTAAGTCAATATTGAGCAAAATTTGATCTTTATAGAGACGACTCATGTTTTAGGCGGCAAGTTGGGATAAAAATTTGAAACAGAGTTCTAGAGGGCAAAGCGATGCGAATTTTGAGAGCGTCGGTTTTTGAGTTACAGGAACAAAATGAGATTAAATCAAGTTACATGTAGTTGATTTGCACAATTGGTCATTGCGCTGGTTGAAAAGCCAATGATGGCGTGAAGCCATCGAGCGCTGAATTATAACTGAATGCCTCTAAGTTAGAATTCGGACTAACTAAAAATAAGCCTATAATTTTGCAACAAATGACTCTGCCAGCACACCCGGGTGCCCGGTAACCGGTTATTTCGGCTGCCGCCGCCTGCAGTGCCGGCCATACAATTAACCTCAATATTTTGAAGTTACAGATTCATTGTCACATTTTTACGTATGTATTAATTAAAATAACATCACCCATGTTTTAGAAAACAACCTTTTAATTACAAAATTGAACTCCTCCCAATGTTTTAAATTTTTTTCGATAATGTTAATATTTCTTCCTAAAAACCATAGATTTTGTCAATATTTTTGTCATATCGGTTAAATATAAGATAAATTCTTACATTTTGTCTAAACAAATGTTTGATATTACCTAAAATTTTATTTTAAATTTCGATAACATCGATTAAATATTGAAAATACTCTTCTATTTCGTCTAAATCAATGTTTGACATTCAAATTTTAAATTCTCTTCTTTAGCAAATTAACCAATATTAATATATTCATAAATAATTCTACAAATTTACATATCGTTATTTTCATCGATACTAATATTTTAACCAAGGACTCCTCCCTTTGAAATAGAGTCGAGTGGTGTGAAATACTCTCGTAAAAATTAAAATGCAAACATACCAAAGTTTGAATTTAATTCAAATCAAATAATTCCCTAAATCTAAAAAACCAACGAACGAGCCAACGGTGCACTGAATCGACTTAGCAATCCCTCCGCAATGACCGACTCCTCTGTAAGCGATACGACGTCGAAGAGCAGCAGCGCCGGCGGTGGCGGTTCGGACGCATCTCGAATCGGCGACGTAAAGCAATGGCTCACTCAAGAGTTCTCCCAAGCCGGAAAAGAAGTGCCCGATTTCGAATATACCCCTCGTTCGGTGGCGTATTTACACAACCTTGCCACTCTCTCCCAGGCCCAAACTCAAGCTTCCAAGATCCTCGCTTCCGATTTCCGCCTCAAAGCCTCCGAATACCGAGCCCAAGGTATCTGCTGCTCCAATTTTCTTCCTATATATATATTGTTTAATTTGTATATTTTGTACGTGTTTTTCTTTTCAAAATTTGAAATTTTGTGTTTGTGGGCGTTAGCTGCGAGGATCAGAGAGATATTGGAGAGTGTGGGTTTGGCACAGGAGGGTTTGCCTTCGAATGTGGTGTCATCAGCTCAGGTTTTAGCCAATGTAGCCAATTTGTTGAATATAAGAGACACTGAGCTCAGCAGGTGTGTATTTTTGAATTCCGGATTTACATTGTTGTTTGATTTCTGAGATGACATATGAAAGGTGGGTTGTACATTGTTTGAATGCTGGACTGACATCGGAGATTTGCTTTTTAGTTTTCTTGTGGCGATGGGGGATATATCGTTGAGGAAGACGGGTGTGGAGGAGAAGAGGGCTAAAGCGCAAAAAGAGTCTAATGTTCTTCTTGATTACACTCGAAAGGCGATTTCCAGGTTAACTTATTTGAAAAGGTATGATCTTGTTGGATATATTCCAAGAACTGTAAAGTTAAGAGTATGGATTTTAATGTAGGATTTTGGTTTTTCTGAATGTGCTGAGTTTTCAAACTTTGGTAGAACACTTGCTCAACTAGAAGATGATGCAGGCCATTGTGAGGCGCATGTTGAGCATTGGAAGAACAACTTGGTGCTCATGCTTGGTAAGGAGAAACAGTACAATCAAGAGACTGTCCGTTTCAAGGTATTTATTTCGGCTCCTGCACTTTGTTTTGTTGGTGTCAAAGTTTGGTCAATGACTTGTAGAGAATGAATTCAGAGAATATAAGATTGTCATGCACTCAAATCAAATTCATTTATAGTGAGATAACATGAAATGGGTAAGTCTATGGAACAGACTACGTAGATGGTACTGTTAGCATTTGTTTTTAGGTGTGTCAATAGTAGGAGGTGGTTGTAGAAGGTGATTATAAGGATTCTCTGGGTAAGAGGCTCATATGACAAACTGCATCATCTGCATGTTCCAGTTTGTATGGGTGGATATTTCTTGAGCATCAGTATCTAAGAGTACAGAACAAATTGCATTATCTGAAGAGTTATCTTGTTATACATCCAAACTGAAGCAATAACTTTGGCACCGTTTTAGACTATGTGCTATACAAATAAAGATATACCTCCTATGAGGTGAAAAGAAAATTTGGAATTGGAAAAAGAAAATATTAAATATATAGTTAATGGCGCATAGAACTTTGATATGTATTCCAGGATCTTATAAATTTACAATTCTATAACTGTGAAAATAATTCAGGTCCAGTTGCATGAAGTTGATAACAAATTATATTGTTGGTTTTTGAATGCATGCCTATGTTTCCAGAATGCTGGAACACAGAACTAATCAGGATTATGACAAAATGTGCATTTCATAAAGCATCTGCATAGCCTTTATCATAAAGAAAGTGGGCTTTCTATGAATGGTGACGATTGATAGAAAATTTGGGAGTTCAACCTGTCGCAGTTTGTCAATTCTTACTTTTGGTGATTGCCTAAGAGTAGCTTAGTTTGGGAGCAATCATGCTATAGGTAGAATGTAGCCAGTAAATTTCTGCTTGGTAGATGATATAAAATTAGCAATAATTGTTCATCGGTCTCTATTGGCTAGCATATTGAAATTTCATATTTAAGTCACAAGAAGAATGCATTTTGGTTTTTTTTTTTTTTGTAAAATATGGGGCTTTTAAAAACCCAATTTTCTTTATTTATTCCTAAAAAGAGTCGTGCTGTAAACTTACTGGACAGGGAACTCTTGATCGCGTGGGCTACACCCCAGAGATTAGCCATGGGGTGCTGGTTGAATTGGCCGAGCACAGAAAGGAATTAGAGAAGAAGACAAAGCCCGTCCTTGATACTTTGAGAAGCTACCAAGACTTGCCGCCGGTAGTTTTCTACTTCGGTTAATTGATCACAGTTTATTTAGGTCCTAGAAAGATTGGGAGGTTGATGAGATATGTATGTGTGCAGGATAAAGCTTTGGCTGCTTTAGCAATCGAGGACAAGAAAATACAATATGCTGCTGCGGAGAAGTATCTCGAAGATGTATTGCATTCAGCTCTAGCCACTTCAGAGTAATGGACCACTAGACTTATTGTTGTATGATTGCGTCTGTAAAATTATATATAGTTTTGTTTGCGTTATTGGAGAACTGGTAAACGGGTCAGTGTTTCTGTTGATCCGATGATTGTTGCACAAGTGTGGTCTCATTATTTTTGCTTCTTTTATTTTTGAGCTGTTTAACACCCAAATTTTTATCAAGATAGAGTTAAATTTGGGGATTTGGCTACAACATACTTACATTTACTAAATGGATTCACGATCTCGACGATTAGATGGTGATTGTATTATATTCACATGAGTATATCTGACCGTTAGATTGTGATTGTATTATACCTAACCTTAGGTTGATGGAAATTGTCTTTGCGTTGAGTTTTATTGATAAGCTCAAAGAAGGATGTACCGTTAGTTTCATGTTTCTTTGTATTCGTTTGACTACAATGAAAACATGTTATTCTTTTGATTTTTACTTGACAATGACTCAGATTATTTTCAATACAAGCGATAATAGAAGAGGGGGTATTGAAGTCGGGACCTCGGGTGCAAATGTTGACCCTCTTAACCAACAAACCTAAAAATACGTTGTAATCATTATTATGTTTTATACAACCTTGTAAATATTTGGCTTAGAGCATTCACTTGTTTTAGGAGGGAAAGGGTAAAGGCAAGGGTAGTGAAATTGCCCTTACCATTCACTATAAACAATAATTGTTTTTGTGCAAGTCTATCAATTTGAGAAGATGAAGGATAAAGGCAAGAGTGATTACTATTCATAAATATAATTTTTTTTTAATTTTGTATGCCTTGTAAGTGTCCACTTAATAAGTTTGTTTTTTTGAAAATAAAACATTATGTTTAACTCTGATAATTTAATTTTAAATACAAAGCAAACGTAGCATTACAAACAAACATAATTAATTAAAAATATTTAGTTAATTTGTTTAAGTGTGTTTAATTTTAAGCGTGTTTAGTTTTTAGTGTGTTGAAGAAATAAAATTGTTTTTTTTTTTTTTTAAAATTTTTGGTAATTTTTTGGGTTTGTTACTTTTAAATGAATCTTGATCATTGATTTTCTGTGACGATCCATCCCGAATTAATATATATTTTAACCTCGATTGTGTGAAAATGACGATTATACCCTTGAGTCGTAGTGACGTGAATGTACGTATATGGTTTTAAATTATTTTTTCCGTTGACGTAATTAAATCATACTCGATGTCACGAGAGTGTTGACGTGATTTAAGGCCGAGTTGGGTTCGTAACGAAAATATTACGAATAAACGGTTGTGTAATTGGGCTAAGGAAATGGACCAATCATCACACCTCCAACTTTCTTGGGTCCAATTAGAATTTTAGGTTTGTTTTGGGGTCAATTGTTAGCCCTAAACATGCAGCCCAATTAGGGCTTAAGATCCCTTTTATCTATGCCCAATCTGGACCAGACGCACACACTCACACACACATACATACCCTCATCCTTTCTCTCGATCTTTCATTCGTCCGCACAGTCCATACACACACACACCCAACCATCTTCATCTTGCATAGATCGAACTAATGGATGTCACTTTCGAGTTCCTTGCAAGGTCAGGAACCTAATCATACCCTTAGTTTTGTGAAAGAACCTCGGAAACCTTGGAACTTGCGAGCTCCGACGAGGTGCTCTGCTACTCCATTGTGATCATGGACATTTCACGGAGTTTTAGGGCTCAATGGAGTCTTAAAACAACTTCAAATAGATCATAGAGAAGTTTTGGAAGGTTTTTGATGTCGGGATAGGTCAGTTCCTCGAGTTGCAATTTTGACCTGAATATCGAAGGATTTTCCGACTAGTTCCCGTTAGTTTTAGGACTTCAAAGTAGTAAGAACATGTTCTACTCGTTCAAGGCTTTAAATCCATGTAAAGTTTGTGAAGTTTGGTTGAGATTTGAGTGAGATATTTAAATTTGAAAAATTTTCCAGTTTCCGGCGAAGCAACGGCGATCGGCGCCGGAATCAGGCGAACCACCAGAGAAGGAAGGAGAATATTCCATCAACTTTGACGGAATTTACTAACGGCGTTAGGTAAAGTTAACGGAATATTCTATTATTTAGCGGAATATTCCTAATGGCGTTTAAAATTCCGTCCGTGTCCCAAGCACGTGCCTACGCGTGGCCGGCACGTGAGACGTCGGAAAATTATTCTAAAAATATGAGGATGCTCGTGGTGTTGAGTAGGCCACAATGGTATATCAAACACCCCAATTCTATGATAAGTTGTTACACAGTTTTGGTTATGTACTTAAAATTAATGTTAAAATAATGATTTCACATATAGGTGAGACGTTTCTAGAGGAAGAGTGCAGTCAAGCGAGACTTGGGGGTCACGATCCAGCTATATACCAGTGAGTGGGCTTTTGGTTTTCTATATATACGTATATATGCTTTGCGCTTTCCCATAAATTTGTTTTAAATGAAATTACGTTTTAAATGCCATGTCAATTGCATTATGCTTTAGAGTATGCATTAGTATAGATATGCATATTGTTGCTAGATGCTGCGGACGCTCATGTAAGATTCAGGTGAATATATATTGATAATAGTGGATGCATTATTTGTGGTTCTTGCACCTTGGTGCTAGTGCTCTCGCCCGTGGCCAGGGCACAATCATTCACGTGATGTTCACCTCCCTCACCACATGCTCACCTTGGATCCAAGTTTGATGCACAGCCCTGTCGTATAGACCACATTAGGTGGTTCCGACTCGTAGGTGACTCGCGATTATTCGCACAGCCTTCACGTGATTGTAGCACTTGAGCGTACTTATTTGCACCCAGCCCTGTCGTACAGACCACAATAGGTGGTTCCGACTCGTGTGCAGGCATATTTGATGAGCTATAGGTTCAACCGTACAGGTCATGTTAGGTGACTCCGGCTGATATATCATTTTACGTTGATTTATTTCGCCTGGCTATTTATTTCCATACTGGGATACTTGACATGGCATATATTTAAGTTTCACTACTCTCGAGCGTGATTTTTATATACGTATGTATTTTTATTTTTTGGGAAACTATAGGGGTTTTACGGTGATGGGTTATTACTTTTGGAAAGAGAAATGGTTTTGAAAAGCTTTGTTTTTGCTCACTCACGTTCTCTGTTTTGCACCCTTCCAAGTTTTAGATAGAAGTGTGTGTTGGTGGCTCATGAAGACTCTACGGCGGTTTTGATAGACATCCAACAATGTAGGGTTTCCTTTCATACCCTGTATAATTAGTATTTAGCTTGCTGGATTGCACCTTGGCACTTACGCTCTGACTATGTGTATCTACACTCTAACACTTCTTCCCGCACTTATTTACTTGTCTTGTGTGCATTAGTTAATTGGTTTTTTGATTTCTCATATCTTCATATCACTGTCACTTCCGCACTGCGCACATGGCTACGTCACTATCACGTGATGGCTAGCATGCCTCGATTTAGGTCGAGGTGTGTCAGTTTGGTATTAGAGCCTAGGTTTGACAATCATGCATATTTTGTGGGTTTCTAATCATTTTGATGTCTTATGTCAGAACCGTACCTCTTCTGCCACCTCATGCCACCTCATAGAGAGCCATGTACCTCTTCTGAGTCTTGGGGAGGCTATTGCTAATGCTATTCAGTCCTCACTTCGTCTACCCCAGAGAACTCCCTTGGAGACTGTATATAATTTAAAGTTGAATAATTTTGTGGGTAATGAGGGATCCGAGTAGTGGCTTAACCATGTTGAGAAAGCCTATCGAGTGATGCAGCGACATGGGAATTTACCTGAGGGTAGATGGGTCGAGACAACCACTTGGTTTTTGGGTAAGGAGGATGCATCCTGGTGGAGGCAAGAATATTTTCAGTTGTCATCGGAAGAAGCTGCATATTGGGAGGTTTTTAAGGGATTATTCCAGAAGAGATTTGTACTCCCAAAGTATTTAGATCGTAGGAGGCAAGAATTCTTGTAATTAAAGCAAGGAAAATGTCAACTATTGAGTATTATAGAAAGTTTACTGATCTGTCCCGGTATTGTCCGTAGATTGCTGAAAATCCTATTGAAATGCTTTGACAATTCAAATGGGGTACTCGAAAGAAGTGGCGTTCTATGGCGACCACGACTCATTCCTCTACATATCAAGAGTTTTATGAGATTCTACTGTGAGTTAAGGATTATGAAAATATGCCCAATGACAGTGAAAAAGAAGAAGAAAATGATAATAGTCAAAAGAAAAATAATAATAAAGATAAAGGCCAATCATTTCAGGGACCTCGTAAAACGCAGAGTTTTAAAAGAAGTGGTACTAGTTCTAGTTCTTCTAGTGGGGGTTTGAGTTCCACTGCGTAGTGGAGAGACGGCCGATTTTTAGGAGGTTCTCGGTTCCAAAGACAGAGAGATTCTAGCAGTTCAGGTGGCCCACTGTGTTGCATATGCAATAATCGGCATTTTGGGGAATGTAGGCGAGATAACAGTGGATGTTTCACGTGTGGCCAGATGGGACATCGGTCTATTCAGTGCCCTTGGAATCAGTAGAAGCCCCAGCCACCTGCCTTGCCACAGCTAGCTCCTATTTCGCAAGTCTCGGGGCCCAGTACTTATATCCAGATGAGTTATGGTGGAGCATATCATTATCAGGGGGATATAGCTCCATATTCTGGAGGACCGTATTAGTACCCACACGATCCGTATCATCAGAGCAGTTACGCTCAGTATCCAGGAGGTTAAACGCCATATTCAGGTGGTGGATCACAGTGGTATTCCGGAGGACAGTCCCAGAACATGGAGGTTGCTTCTAATAGTGCATGATCATCGAGGCAGCCTAACCAGCCTGGTCAAGGACGAGGTACACAAGGACATGGGAACTAAGCTAACAGGGGTCGTGGAGGACGACAACAACCTCAGGGTTATGTTCATCATATCACCTTACAGGATGCTTAGAACAACCCTGATTTGATTATAGGTACGTTAAATATCCTTGGCCATTTGTCTAGAGTATTAATTGATTATGATGCCACACACTTTGTTATTTCTCATACATTTGTTCAGACGACGCAACCCTACCCTACCCTACACCTCTTGGTTATGAGTTAGAGTTTTCGATGCCTAGAGGTGAGACATGTTATGTTAGCTGGGCATATCAAGGATGTCCTGTTCTAGTGGAGGACATCGTCATGCCAGCTAATCTTGTTCCATTCGATATCATTGATTTTGATGTCATTCTAGGCATAGATTGGTTACATTACAATCGTGCCAAGATGGATTGTTATGAGAAAACAGTCATTTTTCATCGGCCGA